TTTCGAAATGGCGAGGGCCTCCAGAATTTTACTTTCAACTTTTTTCCTGCTTCTTTTCACGATGTTTACGTCATATAACCGTGCTGAGCATTGATAATCACTACACTGAGTTGGTAAATGTACTCCTGCTGACAGTGTTTTTTTGTTGTTTTTTTTTGCTAAACTAGCATGCTACATCCTTCGATCGTTCATGCAACGCCTGGTTTGTCCAATGTAACTTCGGCCGCATGTCAGCGGAATATGGTGCACCATATCATTTTCACAAAGGGTTATGAGACTTGTGAGCTACGCCACACACCCACTCATTGCTTTGCTCCAAGTTAACCCCGCGAGACATGGATGAGGCTTTGTCAAAGGCCATTTTCATGTTTCTCTGGCTTAACCAGGAGCTAAGCAACAAAGATAGGGTTTGTGGCGCAGTTCGCAAGTCTCAATACACCCCGTGTGAAAAGGAGTTGGTGTAGCACATTCCGCTCCCATTTGGCCGAGGTTACATTGGACAAACCGGGAGATGCATCAACGATCGGAAAAGGGAGCATGCTACATCAGTAAAAAACCTGTTAGCAGCAGGACATTTGACAACACACTGTCGTGCGTGTCAATGTACAGCACGGTCCTATGATAAGAACATCGTTTTAAGGAATGCCGATGTGTTTATGTTGTCGCGACGTCGTGTGAGTCTCATTGCCAGACGAAATATCGTGCGCTGATAATATGGTCATTTTACTCGGCTGTTGTCACAAGCGAAGCCTTCAGATGTTGGATGATATGGTTCCTTATTTTATGAAAGTTGCACTTAACTTTTTGTGTGATATTGTATGATATTCATACAAGCACTGTCGTCATCAGCCTTCGTAATACAGCCATCATCTGGTCGTACACGGACAACGTCAGCACGTTGCCGAGATGGTTGGCGTTGGCAATTATCTTTTCTTTATTTTTGTTTCGTGAAACGTCCGTGGAGCCTGATTATAAAGTTACGTATTGTGCAACAAATCTGGCGACCCGAAAAAGCTTGTCTAGGAGACTTTGTTCCTTCTAATGGCTAGAATAAGTATTTCAGCAAACAAGAAAAGAAATCTTCCATTACAACTTCCATACTTTTTTTCCAATCCTTTGGATTGTCGACATCCTATATTTGAAGGCAGGCGTTCAAATTCGTCTTGGAAGCGAACGCTCCGAGTCCTCGCATTACGAAATGTAAACGCTGTTTAAACACACTTTAAAAAGTTTTGTCCGATAGATGTTAAACTTCTAAAAAAGTTTGAGTATGCGTCGAAAACTATAATATATATATATTAGAATTCCAACGAAGGACCCACATGTTTTAATGGTTGGCTAAGTGTCAGTCTCCCCAAAATTTCGATTTTGGCTGTCGATAGGCGTAGTGTTTTGCACGTCTCGCGGAGACCGATTATGTCTTGATTGTTACACGTCATTCCGCACCCAAACATCAACGTCCTTGCCTTCTTTTGACAATTAGTGATGCCAAGGTGGTCGTTATGCATTCTCGTAAGCAGCTCCTTCGGAGAGACTTTGGAACAGCAGTCTGAAATTTTCATAACGATGGAATTTCATAGTCAGTCAAAGGGCGACTAGTTTAATAGGTTCCTCAAGTTCCTTATGCGCTTCAGGCAAACGTCATATTGTGTGTAGCTCTTCATGATCTCGAGCTGCAAAAACCAGAACATCGATTTCTGCTTACTCACTAGTATTTGACAGAAATGACGGCTCTGTATGCATTTTAGTGCCGTTATCTTTATTCTGGTCAAACGCAGTTATCTCTAGGGGCGCACTTGAAAGTATGTTTGTCAGGAGCAGTTGCTTGCCAGGAACATTCTGAAGTTCGTAGTCGTACATCATGAGGCAAATCAAAAAACGCTAAAGCCGTAACGACATGTCTCCTAAGTTGTTGCTTTCTTAATCGAAACTAATGGCTTGTATTTGTCGCTATCACAATAAATGAACTCATAAAATCAATGAACAAACCACAATATTTTTTTAACTATTGGTGTCTCCAAGTGCTTATCTTTCGATGTGTGACGGCCTCGTCTCATTGCCTGCGAGTGCTTTTGAGCCATAAGCAACTGGACGCCATTCAGTTATATTTTGTAGAAATAAGGCTGTACCCAGGCCGAACTTTAGAGCGTGTGTAGACAGCTTTCTTGCAAAGGATTTGTTGAATAAATAGACCACCGCCGCTGCGGTATCTCGCATCTTATCGGTCTTGTCCCAAAGTCATGGTAAGTACAGTGGGCATAAATTTGAGCTAGTCCAACATAACGCCGGCAAGAGCATAAAAAAATGGCGCTGCCCTGTCGCTATAATCTGTTGGGAAGAGGGCTGGGACATTTCCTCGCGATTCAATGATTGGGAAGGGGCAAACGTTATGATATAAGACCGATGCCCACACAGCTTCTAATGAAACCAATATATTTTCATTTACTAACTGAAATGTATATAGATAAAGCGAATTAGGAACCACAATATGCCGAAAATTTCTAGTTCATATAAATAGGCCTTTCGCAGAGATCCATAAGACATCAACCTTTTTTCTGCGCGATGTGTACTTTTCATTGGAGTAATTTAGCTAACCTTTTGTGAAATAGTATACCGTGTGTTTCAGCTCAGGCTTTTAAAAACTCCTATAATTGGGGTAGTTGAGAAAAACTCAGGACACTTACGCAACCCGGATGCCGAAACACTGCTACAACTGAGGTGTGGCATCGGTGCCACTAAAGTGTCATTTCAGAACAGGTGGACTGAATAAGCATTGAAGGTGTCCGTACGCGCACCATAGAGTCCGCACAGACGTTTCGTCTTAAACCGAGTAACACACCGGCCGAAAATTCCATAGTGTTTTGGAACCAACAAGGGTGTATTATGTAGAGAGCTTATCGAGAACCCTTTGAACAATTTTACCGAAGAAAACTAGTACTTCCATGTGGTAATTGAAGAGCACTTCCAAAATCGCACACTGAAGTCTGTAGCCTTGTAGCTCCACCTAATTTCACACCCGTGGTTTCGCCGGCTTAACACCCACCTAGCTGTATGTTTTTTATCGCATGAGAAACTTTCTGGTATAATCAGCCAGCAAGCATTGTTTGATTGTTTTTTTTTCATTATGAGCAGTTTCATATTTTTGTTTCTACGTGCCGTCATGGTGTAACATGACGACGTATTGTCACGTGATGTCATGACATCGCGCGACTGATGGTGTCACCTGACGTCATTCAGTCGCGTGGTGATACGTGCAACTGCACTTGAAATGACAATGTCATGTGATGATGTCAGCTGACGTCAGACAATAGGTGACGCGATGCGGGGCGTGACGTCAGTTGCGCGACGTCAGTGTGGAATCTTTTGGCGGAGTGCCGGAAATGGCCCTCGCCGACATTTATCGCGGTCGACGACGCAAAACCCGGCAGTGTTCCAGAAACTGCTATCGCGGTAAAACAGAAGCCCTTTTCGTTTACAAACTGCCAGCCACGGCGGACGTTAAGGATTCCAAAAACATTGATTCTCTCAATATTTGACTGACTGTAATAATTCAGTTACTCATTATCAAAAAATCAAAAACTTCTGTTCTAATAAGAAACTTGCTAAGCACTGTTGAAAATCACTAAATTAACTCAATTTGAATAGACATAAGGCAAGAAACAACATTTTACGATGTTTCGAAAAAAAAAAAAAAAACGCTCGAATTTGACGCGTTCCTAAGTTCCGGTTTTCCACCCGATCGCATCTCTTCCCCAGCAGCCCTGCTCCCCGGTGGCCCAGCGCGAAGCCACCGCCTCCCTCGATGGATGAGGTGAAGTATGGCGCACGTGCGTCGCGCGTCTGTGCCACCGGAAAGCGAGACCACTGTTGCAAAGAAGCGCTACGTTAGGAGCCCTAAATATAGAATCGTGTTGAGATTTAAAAGGCTGCCCATGTCTTATATATTTATCGAATGACTTGATTTATTGGTGTTCACTTATGCTTAGCATTGTTTTTAAATGGAACCATATGTTCGTTTTCCCTGCTTAAAAAGTAATTAATACACTTTAGTGAATTATTTAGCTACTTTGTATGTATTCCGCCATTCTTGACGTCGGACTTGACTGCCCGTTCGTTTACGGAAAGTGTTGTTTTTTTTCTTCTTAACTACCACTATTTTAGGGGTTCTTAGAGGTATTCGCCGAAGCCTTCGGTTTAATATTTTGCGCGTCATATATTGTCACAAATTACAACTGACAAAACAATAGAAAAAATTAATGTGGCGAGCTTGAGCCAAAATAAAATCCACTAAATGGCCTTACTGATGTCGATATCAGAACAGCAGCACAACAATGCGCTGGCAAAACACTAGTGCAGATCCATTTATAAAAATGCTAGCGAGGATGTACTGACTTTTAATAAAGTAAGAAATTGAAATACGAAACCTACAGAGGAGAAAAGAAAACCCGGCTTATGCGTGTCGGTCCCACGCGTGATGTCAACACGGCTACGAACAAGGCAATGTCACTTAATCTTCGCGCCATAATTTAATTTGAATATCCTATCACAGAGCCAGCTTTACACAATAATATCCATATACTAAAAGGAAAACATCAACACCGCAAACGTAAACTTTTATAATCCCTCCCGTTTGGCTGGAAGGAAACGTTACACAAAGATTGGGCTTGTCAATTTGACGGAATTGTTTAAACACGCAACATTGAGATAATATGTATTTACAGGACTACCAAAGTTCCAAACGGACCTATAAAAACGGAAGTGTCATTGACGTATCGCATTCGGCGCATAAAAAGTAATAGGGACAGATTCTTATAATTAACGATCACATCGAATCTTCAGAAAATGGGTCACTCGAAACATGGTTCTGCTTTCATAACCTATTCACGTAGTTTATAGGATCAATTAGGCCCCAAAGCCGCTATAGAGCCATCCGTTTGTAATATGAGAGAAAAAGGATGAGTAAAGAAAAGAGTAAAATACTATTGAAAGATTCGTGTCACCTGTACTTTTCGATGGCCTCCAGGACCAATTTGGGCAGGAATACTGTACCGGGCATCACCACGGTGGAACCGAAGATCGTGGCAGTCAACACCCCCATAGTTCTGCCGAATCCGTAGATCAGATCAGAGTTGAGGCAGATGATTTCACGCTGCAAACAAGAGGAGTTGTTTGGTTCCTTAAGACAATTAACAAAAAACATATTCAGTCTTGTACGGCCCGCCATTGTCGTAAGCCCGGCAGATAAAACTGTCACCAAATACGTTCAGTGAACTTTTGCACGAAACATTATCTGGGCACTTTGATTGTGAAAATTGTACTGAGTATAGATAGGTTTAGTGATGTTGAAGGTGTATTTTATAATCTATTTGACCCATCTAAATTGCAAAGTGAAAGCAAATATTGATAACCATGTGCACTACGACATTATCCCCGGAAATACGTCATTACATCAATTTTTTTTTGTTTTTTCAGTTCTGGTGGTCTTGCGAGGGGCCGTTTCGACCTTTGTTCGTGTGACGTCAGGAAGAAGAGAGGCCACCATAATAGGAATCGAGTACATTTTTTTTTTTTTTTGGCTGGAATGAATCTGTTGGAAATCGTTCAAGGAAATCAGTGACATCTTGCAACAGCGCGTGTGTGCTGCACACAACTGTACGCGGCATTCTTAACAGAGGTTTTTGTACGGCTTAAATGCAGAGCGCACTAATCCAACAACCTCATAACTGAGCCCGACCATCTCTTCTCAAGTGACAAAGAAAAGAAGTTACGAATAGAACAATTTCGTCGCTTTTCTGGCCACGCTGTAGCAACGTTTTTCATCATTGCTTTTTTTATTATTTCGTTTTATAACAACAGGTTATATATTCAAACCATCCAACCATCCCTGATTGTATGAGTTTTAGTATGTGTTGCTTAACTGTTCCACTGGGCTGTTTGAGCATATATGAATATAAAATAAACGATAGCAGAACGTCAGCGTTTTCCAAGACGAATATACTGACACGCGCGTCGGCGCGCGACGGCGTGCGTGGCCGAGTGGTTTTCGCGCTTAACTCTCGTGCGGAAGCCCAGGGTTCGATTTCTGGGAGCGACGCGTCTCTTATTTATTCTTTACGTTTAATGTTCTGGTAAATTCGAGAGCTATGTTCCTTGCTCAAGGTTTTAATGTTCCACGCGCTGAACATTCTACGCCGACTGTTTCAGAAGCCCAAGCGTAAACTGTAGATAAAGCGCTCCGCGTGCCGAGCCGCAGTCAATATCGCCCGAGCGTTCGAACGATCATGCTGTTACGCCGACTTCGACGCCCGTGGCGCTTTGTTGTTTGTTATCTTCTGTTTCTTCTTTGTTTTGGGCACCAGTTCGCCCTATTAAACGTTTCAGTTTCCTCAGTTATTCTTCGTTTCGTCACTTAGTCTTTTCTGATAATACTCTGTTCCTCCCAGCATAGCGGCGGGCTCAAAATCTCATTTCGATTATCACCTCAATGACAGCTTTGAGAGCGACAAGAAAATGTGGCTTATCTTTTCCAATGTACACTCTGTCGCGAGAAATACATCAGGTAGGCAAAGCCTCTTTTCCGGAAGCCTTCAACAACCATACGTAACACGTTGCATCCTTTCTGATCCTCCCGTGCTCAAGAAACATGGATCTTCCGGAGCACGAGCTTAAACAAATAACGACCACCGTCCTGCAGTAACGCTTTCGGGCTTAGAATGCGCGCGATGTCCGCGAATCCTTTTAATTGATACACTTAGGGTACGAAGGAATTAATCGCAGCCTGTATTCGCCAGCATTGGTACGCTTTAAAGGAAAACTGCAATTACAGGCCCCCACTAGCTGGTAAGGTTTCATCACCCGTTCCATCCCCACGATACCAGCCCCTATACGGTCTGCGAAAGCAAAAAGGTCCTCACAATGTTGGCCCTTTTCATGGAGACATGCAATGTAGTCGCCGACCACTGGAGCAACGCCGTAAACTCCCTCAATAAAGCAAGACCAACCACCCACGCGATTCCCCTGAATCTCTTCGTCCGCTCATCGGAGGTCGCCTGGGGCAATGAGCCCCTTACCCTTACATTCATGTAAGCACTTCCTTTATTTTGTTTCGCCACGTTTGCATGGTTTTAGAAAAGCAGCGTGATGTCCACTGTTCCTAAATAGATACGGCTTCTCGCTCACAGAGGCATCACAAAATGAATCTTCCTTAAGAAGACATAGTGACCATTTGATCAGTCATGCAACCCAGAAACATATCTGATGGCACATGTCGCACATCACGTACATCGTGCACATCGCCGGTAGTCGAGAGCTTTCTGTTGTAAATCAGTCAGCGTGCGACAGTGTGTGTTCGAGCGTTGAATATATACCGCTATGCGCTTGAATGGAGGGGGCGTTTCCGCAATATTTGACAATATACCATATATCAGTGACATTCAGTAACCGCTCATTCACACTGGAAGCGGATCCGCGTTCGCAAAGCGGTTGCGAACTCGGTTGTATAAAGATCCAGTACATTTGCACGCGCTCTTGATGTCATCGAGTGCGCGTGCAATTGTACTGGATCTTTATACAACCGCGTTCGCAACCGCTTTGCGAACGCGGATCCGCTTCCAGTGTGAATGAGCGGTAAGTCTTTCACTTTAATGTGCCAGATTACGCGAATAATATTAACTCGTAGTGGAATTTAGAAAACATATTTTGCTGATTGCCACTATTTTGTACCCTGGCATCCGCCGCAGTCGGCATGGTTGCTTCCAAGGAATTAATATTTACCGAAGTCTTCCTTTTTCGATTATTTTAGTCGCTGGGAATAAAGCACCCGGCACCCGATTTACCCACAATCGCTATTTTGTATAATCCGCGTTTTAAAATCAATGTAAAGGTAGAATAAAGTCTGGCTTCAATTATTTCATTCATTGGCCGTACAAACAACTAGAAGAATACCTGTTGATGGTATTGAGCGACGCGCCCCAACAAGTTGGCGTTGTTGACAACGTTGAAGTGAGACAGCCGCACTGGTTTGGGCTGCCCCGTTGTACCCTGCGTTTACAAAAAATAAAATTCGGATAGTTTATGATGTTGGTCAAGTATGAAGACAATGATTCTGTTTTCCAAAAAATATATACCGTCATGCCTTATTTGAACAGCTGTAAAAGGTGCGAATTCAAGTGGCTAACTTTGGTTGTAGCACAGCACGCAGAGGCCATGGATGTTGTATATATATATATTATATATGTACATATATAATTTTATCATTAGTTAAAATCGCCTTATATTTCTGCAGAAGAATCATAAGTGTCTCACGTGGTTCTACTCTTCTGTCTATCGGACCTCATGTGGCCATATTAATAGTGGGCGTCCAGCTGACTCTCGTGCTCTTGGAAGCCAACTGGTCGTTTTCTTACCCGTCTTGTCTTCATACAATCAATGTCGTTTGTTACCCTTGAATGGATGTTCCGTATTATTGCTCCGGGTCGGAGATGCAGCAAGGCAACCCGACCACGATGGCGCCCAACCTGAAGCAGCCGATCTGAGCACCGAAAGAGGCCCTCCATAAGTGGTTTCCTATTCGACCGCTGGAGGCGGTCCCGCTGGAATCTCAGTGGGGCTGAACCTCGCAGGCAAATATCGCCAAACCGCTCCACAACTGTGAGCACTCCGACTATAACCAAAACAAGCTCTCCTGAATTAAAAAAAAAAAAAAACATATATCAGCTTAAGTCTCTACCTTTAAGGGGATTGTGAACCGAACATTTCAGTGTCTACAATAAGCGGAGCGCTATCATTTCAAGAGTCAGCAGCCCCTGGTGTGCGCGAGCATACGCAACGAAATTGACGTCATCATATCCGCTATTTACGCACATCAAGCTCGACAATACGGCAATAAAAAATAGCTTGAACATTAAATTGAAAAAAAAGCAAAATCTTGTTACTCTCACTTTATTGTTTTGCGAGGCATCTGGCCGTTCTGATGTGATGTGGAGAAAGCTGCTTTCTGTTTTAAATAGAATTCATGCCTAGGTAATGACAAGCGGCGCCGCGATGACGACCTGTTCCCGCCGGCGCAGACAAACCCGTGGGCTCTATCATCACCTTCCTCGCCGTTCTAACTCGTCCGACTTGTCCAGCTTGCTATTTCGCGAGCCTCCCGTGCTGTCGGTGGCCACAATGATGTGTCTCTACAAGGAATACCGTGCATTGCCAAACACCAGCAAGGGCCGCAATCAAGCACAAACCTTGAAGCCAGCACAAATCACGCAGAGAGCCGGTAGAACAAACAAGAATTCCTGACATCACTGACGATCGTCACCATTAAAAAACAGCCACAAGACTTCCAGATATGCCCATATAAGCGGTTCCTGCAGAGGAGCACGAGCATTTCAGCAGGCGATTCACGCACGTCAACATCGGAGCGCACACGTAGACCAAGTAGCTTAGAAGCACTGTTCAGTCCTTTATCTCTTAAGTTTTTTGCCTAGATCGCCCTGCTGAATCGCGAACGGTCGTTGATTAACACGTGTCCCTGGTCCTGGCCTTAGGGAGGGCAGTAAAGATAAATAATAAAATGTCTGAAAAGCAGCCTACAACTATAAAGGAAGTGGTGAAATCGTAGTTCGATCTCTCCTTAAAGCAAGAGGCTACGGACAGTAAAGTAACGAGCGATCTGGCAGGAATCTCTTATTCATTGTCATTTATGAATACAAAATTTGAGGAATTCAGAACAAGAGTGAAAACAACGCAGAAGAAGTGGACAAACTAAAAACCATGCAAGCAGCATCAACTAAAAAAAATAAACAATAATAAAATCGCCAAAGAGCTTGAATGAAGGGAATGCACCCTGATCGAAACGAAACAGTAAAGTGGAAAAAATAACACCCAGGAGGGGCTTCCGTCACCCTTACTGAATGTCTGGGGACCGTCATTGCCGAGATCAGTAAAAAGATTGGCGCGCAGATAGCGGACTTTGACTCGACGTCATTCTCGACGTGCCAGTCAAAAACAAGGCCAAACCAGGCCTTGTTTTCGCGCAAGACTTCAGTCCGTTAGGCTGTTCCTGTTCGCATAAGTATTACATTATATTATTATTATTATTATTATTATTATTGACTGCTACTGGCTGTAAAAATCAATGTAACCTTGCAAGTAAATTTAATCAATATTTTAAACACAATGGACAGTCCATTGGCAGCTACTATCGAAGAACCAACAACAAACCGCCCCACAATCCCTGCTCCAGATTATTTATTTTTTTGGGATATAAAGAGTGATGAAATTTTAACAACGATAAATGCAATGCCACGGGATTAGGCGCTCGGGAATGATGGTATATATATTAAAATTACTCAAGACAATGTCGGTGCTCATAGGAAACCTCTAGAAGAGATATTAACATAGCAGTTTACAGTGGCACTTTTCCCGCCGTGCTAAATGTAGGAATAGTAATACCAATATAAAAAGGGAGACGAAAAACAACTGTCCGACTACCGACCAATTTAGGTACTTAGCTGAGTTACTTTAAATCCGATATTTATGGGGTTTTCGGTAAAGTATGTCAATTGATTGATTTCAATAAACAATTGTGCAACTATGTTGAACACCCTACGCATGCTTCGGCAATCCGATATGTACGGGGCATAAAAAAGTGCCCATTAATAGATTAAAAAATGAAAGCCGTTTACGACTCCCTGTAACGCCGATTTGGAGCGCAACTCTTGAGTAGGATGAGGGAACGGTACTGAGGGGAGGGTATACCCCTCCTCCCTCCTCCTCCCTCGTGATCCTGCTTGCTACTCCTCCTCCCCTCATCCTCCTTCTCCACCCCTGCTTCTCCTTCACCTCCTCCTCGTCCTTCAATCTCCTCCCCTCGCCTCCTTCTCCTCCTCCTCCTCCCTCTCTCTCCTCCCCCTCCTCATCCTCCTCTCTACTCCCCCTATTCCTCCACCTCCCTCCCACTGCTGTTCTCCTTGCCGCTCAAGCCGGAAACGGCCGCCTAAGAGCTGTGCTCTGAAACGTAGAATCAGAACAAATATCTTGGCAAGTGATAGTCTCCCCGCTCATTCTCCCTGCTCCCCTCGTTTCTCCTCCTCCCCTCACGGGGGTCACGTGATCTTGGGAGGGAGGGGAGGGGTCATGTGACCCCCAGACCTGAGGGGCGGGTCACGTGACCTGGGGGTGTTGCGTGACCTGGGGGGTCACGTTACCTGGGGAGGCGACGTGACCTGGGGAGGCCACGTGACCTGGGGGTCACGTGACCTGCGGGGTCACGTCCCCTGGGGGGTTACGTGACCAGAGGGGTCACGTGACTAGGGGGTCACGTGACTTGGGGGGTCACGTGACATGAGGGTCACTTGATATGAGGGTCACGTGACCTGGGGGGTCACGTTACTTTACGATTACACCGACTGCGACGCCAACGCCGACACCCACGCCGCTCAAGCCGGAAACGGGTGTCTAAGAGCTGCACTCTGAAAGTTCAAGCTAGTTTCAGATCCTGTAATTTTATATCTAAAAGAAAGCAGAACCATAACATCACACAGTATATGTAAGCCATGCTTTAAATGGGTTCTCGAATGGTGTAGGAGCTACTGCCCTCTTTAGGTTTTAACTCATGGGCTACTGGAAAATAAGCACTAACCACAAACTATTAGCGCATTATACAATATTATAATGTGGCAAAAATAGGCTAAACGCCTGGTGGCATTAAAGTGTCTTAATGACGCGCGGTTGGTGGCAGAGCGGATACGCGTTAGATGAGCGAATTACTGACTGCATATCTGAGCAGGAGATGTTAGAACGCTTCTTTTTATGCCGGTGAAACAATACGTATCACTTCGTAAACGATTCTTATTTTCCGAAAAATTCCTTTAAAACAAGAGAGATGTCAAATATCAATAAAAAAAGTTATTTAAGGCATGCAGTAAAGAAATAAAGACTTTTACGAGTCTCTGTAATGCGAAACCAGAGCGCAGGGGTGCTATGTTGCGCTTTTTGCACTCCCAGGAGACTTGGAAGAGGGAAGTGACGTCAACGACACAGCAAATGCAGATTGGATGTTGACAGAATAAAACGAAATCAACACCCAATCTGCGTTTGCTGTGTCGTTGACGTCACTTCCCTCTCCCTAGTCTCCTGGGAGTGCAAAAAGCGCAACCCTACTGAAAAAAACCATTTGGCGCCCATATGAAAATAAACGGGTCCATACCGGTAACCGTTTAACCATACTGGTCACCAGTTTGTCAAAGGGGTCGCCCGTATGGCTCAAAGGGGTCCCCCGTATGAGCCATAACGGTCACCTATTTGGCAAACGGGTCGCTCGTCTGGGCAAATGGGCGACTCGTTTGGGCAAAGTTGTCGCACGTTTGCTCAAACCGGCGACCATGTTGCAAACTGCACCGGTTTAATCAAACGGCTCTCCGGAGCCCGTTTGATATTGAACGTACAGATCGGCGGCGTGGGCACGCCTAGCGTTTCAGCCGTGGCAGCCAATGTTTTCCGGAAGGCTGGGAGCGCCGGTTCATCGATTTCAGATCGTCCGCGTAATGCAAGTAATTATATTTATATTTCAATTGCGCTGATTTTCGATTATACTGCAACTAAAACTAACACCTTTTTTTTTTTGTTTTACGTAAACGCGCGACGTTGGTGAGCCGATATTTTTGACAGACCTTGAATACTTTGTCCATCTTTGTTGCCTCAATTTACTTATTCAGCTCGAATCTCTCTCGCAGAAGACGCGACCGCGTGAAAGAATGTATGTCTAGACTCCGTTTCACTTTAATTCAAGACGCAGCGAAGGTAGCACGCGTACACGCGGCTGTAAGAACATCGAGCATTGCGAGAGCACGCCCGCCGTTGCAGCACTCAAACTACAAGCTTGCGCTGAGTTCTTTCTTCGCTCGGGCGCAAGCCGAGCTTCTGGCAGCCCCGCCGCCATTTCCAAAGTTCGAGCGCGCGCGCGCGCGCGCGTTTGTTCTTCGGGACTACAAAAACGCATCTCCCTGGAATGCCTCGGGAGAGGGAGATGGGCTGTCCCGGTGGTCCCAGCGCCTTGACCTCGCCCCCTCTCTCCTCTCTTGTCACCCCTTTCACGTGACCCACAGCAGCGCGCGAGCTACACGCTGATAAGCATAGAGATCCGGAAGGGCGCGCCTTGCAGCCGCTTTTTTCTTTGTCTGCTCGTTGTCAGTTGCTGCTCGAAGTTCACTCGTCCTACCTGCTTCAATCTGTCGCCTAACCCTGCGGTCTTATTGGGATGTCTCTCGACAACGTATTGGATGTGCACCAAAGCTATCAGTGTTCGAAAAGACCCACGTGTATGTCGGCAACGAGCGATTCTTCAAAGAAGTCGCAAATTCTCGCGGTTTGGTTGGGTTCGGCAAATGACAGCTTGTGCGCCGCATCGTGTTGAAACTTCCAAGGAGCCGTTCCCTCTCGTTTGTGTTTGTGTGGTTGTCCTGCTTTGACCGTGTCGACAAATATCACGGATTACCTCTTTCAAGTCCGCTACTGTTATGGTAAGTGCACTGCGACCTACGTGTTGGCAACGATTGACCGTTCTTCTACGCGTACTCTTCTAAATTATCTAAAGAATTATGCAGCGCCTATTCGCGCGGCAGCCAGGAGAATAATTTCCCCGAAAGTCTACCTGTATAGTGTTCACAGATCGCTTGCACGTTTGTACTTGTCTACAGAAGAGGTAATAAACTTCGAGGAGAATTGAAAACAATCTTTTGTGTCGGTTTTCCTGTCCACTTACAAGCACCTACGCGAGTGCATTTGTTCTAAGTGTTTTCTCCATGTTATACATACGTTTATGAGTTTCGGGACGTCTTAAATATGTTTAAGATCACCAACCTCCCAGACGATACCCATTTAGGGCTAGCGCATAATTTGCCATTTCGAAGGGCACGTTCAAAGGTGTGGTCACGTGCCATGTCGAACGGGTACTCGTACCATATGGCACCCGTATCAAACGGGCACCTGTATCAAACGGGTACCGTTTCGAACGGGTGCCGTTTCCAAACGGGTACCCGTATCCCATAATCACGTTTGATCCAAACGGATCGACAGGTTTGATTTCAAACGGGCGACCAGTTTGCCACCCGTTTGAATTTCAAATGGTTTTTTTCAGTAGGGAACATAGCCCCCCAGGTATTGAGAAGGAGGAGGGCAGGGTACGGAGGGTAGGGTATTTCAATCCTCCTCCCCTCCTCTTCCCCTCCTCGTCCTCTCCTCCTCCTTTCCTTCTCTCCTCATCTTGCTGAACTTTTTCATGGGGGTGACGTGACCCGAAGTCATGTGACGTCATTTTCCCCACTAAATTGAGCGGGGACATTGAAGTGATGTTAGGTTACGTGACGTGAATTTCCTCTCTAAATTTAGTGGAGAAATTGACGCCATGTAACCTCAACACCAATTCAATTTCCCGCTAAATTTTGAGTGGAGGTTACGCCTGCGGCGACAACGATGACGAGTCCGACGGCGACGCCGCGAGACGCGAAAGCGGGCACTTAATGGTACGTTTACACTTACGGATCCGCCAGCGAATCCGCCCAGCTTTTGCCGCTGGGGCGAAACGCTGGGCGGAAAACGCGACGGCGAGCCGTATATGTCAAGCACTTAGTTCTGTCGCCGAACGAGGCGTTTCGCTGACCGGAAGTGAAAGTCTTGTGCAGCGCGACGCTGCCTACGTCATGAGCTCGCGTTCTTCTGGGAGCAGCAACGCCCGGGAGAGACAACAGAGGTGGGAACTCTCGCGCATTCTCGTCATATATGGGATGTTACGACAACAGATGCCACAGCCGGCGCCGTCGCCGCCGCTCGAAGCAAAGAGATGTAAACGCAACCCGGTCGTCGCCGCCGGGAGCGGATTTCTTCTCAGGTGTAAACGTACCGTAAGAGCTGCGCTCTAAAATACCGCACATCATCGAAAAGCCCGCCTCCCAGCGGCGGAACCGACAAATTGACGCCAAAGCGCACTAGCACTCGCGCGAGCGACTTATTTGGCAATCGGCATGTCGAGAAAAGTCGGTGTGTCTGTGGGTATAATTTATGCGATTTCCATCAGCTGCTCTTGCCGTCGCTCGTTTGGAAGAGTCCGTACGTGGACGTAGACGGCTCTCCGAGGACGCGATACCCGAGAAGCTTCGTAGACCTCACGAGTCGCGGAGGCTATTGCACGGGGGGATGGAGGCGAAATCTCGAAGCTGGATGACGTTCCAAAGGGTGCCCATTGCAATCCACGATTAGCACACGTATGAGCTATGTATGATGATGTGCTAGCCGTACGCGTCGGGAGACGTTACCGCTCAAAAGAGCACATAGAAAGCATGGATTCTTCCGTCGAAGCCAGTCTGTGCGTTCACGTAGAAAGCTTTCGACGGGCGCAATTTTGGAATATTTTACTGCCACCATTGTGCGACATTCTTGAGAAAATAAATGCTTATTTTTACTCATTATAATTGTCACTTGCTTCTTTTGAAAACCTATGAAGGGGCAGATGAACCTTTGTGCGCTTCCCTGCTTTGATCCCATCCGTAAAAACGTGGAGCGGAGCGCCAACTGCCGCGTTGAACTCTAAACATGTTCGGATGTTTTGGTTGGGCCCTTCTGAGCGCGGCTGTGCGGGACGATAGCGTACGCCAAACGTTGTCCTGCGCCGGCGTGATTGCGATCGGAGCCTGAATCTGCGATGATGCAAGCGGCTTTAGCGACATTGTGTGCCCCTCTTTGACGTGACGGCCACGGCCTAACCCGCAGCCAATTAGCCAGCTGCTTTACTCCAGCCCTCCAATTAATTAATTTTACCCAATACTTCATAGAGCAAAAATGATCGCTTGTTGTTTTTTTTGTATTTTTATATATATTTTTAAAGATAGTGTAAAGCACCGGAAAGGTTATACATCCGTGGTCATTTGTATGATACGGTTTGTAAAGGCGCATGTTTAAAACCAGTGCAATACTCATTGACTTTTCGCTCTTTTTTATCTAAAATTTCAATTGAACATTCTAATTAAAAAATTGCCTGATGCGTCACGGAGCACAAGCAGTTCGCTTGTTTATAATTTTTTTTAAAGTTTTTTTTTTTATAATTTCCGAAATAATGTGAAGTGCCAAAAAAAGTTTTACTTCCGTGCTCCTTTGTACGATGAGGTTTGTATAGTCGCAAATTTCAAACCCGCGCTATACTCATTGGATGCTCCTTTTCCCACATTATTTCATTTATTTAAAATGCTCACAAGGTTTCTAGTGCCTTCACCGAAATATTGGATGCGTCAGATGCTGTCCGACTGTACATGGCAAAAGCCTCAAAGTTGTCCGCGCCACGCGATGCACCGTGGGATAATTTCGAGGTGCCTTATGATTTTCTTGAAGGTTGTATTTATGGAATCTTAGAAGAGGGTGCTCAGGATGTCTGTCACCTTTCTGATCGACCATCCGCTCGTACGTTACGGACTTGTACGACGTTCAGAATTGGCAGTAGTAAGCATAACACTGGATTATATTTTAGAAAAGTGTCCCTTATGAGGTGCTGATATTCTAAAGCTTTTCAAAATCGAGTTTTTAAACACATACCGAAGAAAACTGAATGAACGCGTCTTGGTCAAACTGAACTTTGGCAGAAACAGAGCACATGGTCTCATGATCTTCAGCCGTGGCTGAATTCACCAGGTCATCAAACGTCGTACAGCCCCTGCGGGAAATAAGCGAGTGGATCAACAGTCATTTATATGGTAAAACAAACTGCCTCTGTGCGCCACGCTGGGATTCCTACTATGACTTTCTGCAGCGCCAGCAATGAAGACTCCGTTCAGGCAGTGGTCACACGTCTTTGCGAAAACTGACATTACAGATAACGGCATCACCATTGGCATGAAGGTCCATATCAATGCCGACAAACCAGAAACAGTTGGTTTAGGCATGGTTCGAACGAATATGCGGGAGTCTTAACATTTTATATACAACGAATGTTTGAGAGGTTGTTATCCGGGTCATGAAGAAATCTACCAAGGCGAATGGCACTTTATAGTACTTTTCTACGTAGTCCCGTTTCAGCTTGATACATATATTTTTGCAGTGCTCCGGTGCCGCCAACCGGTGGCAGAAAACCGATTTGTATTGATCCTCACATCACTCCCCAACAGTGTCTATGACGGCCTTGTCCCGGAGAAAATGCCGTTCTTTCAAATGCCTACCAAAACAAAAGGAATATTGTGTTTCAAGATCGTTAATTATGACAAGACCTGATAGATTTTGTGAATAAAAGAGTATTTTAATGATGATTTATGCATAATACAGCTTGTTTTTGAGCAAAAAAAGCAAAAATTTGTCCAGGTATGCCCTGTATGAGAACAGACGTGTCTACTAAGCACCAGGTGCGGACAATGCAAGGCGTGCGTACTATGCACCCGGTGCGGCCTATCTAAGGAAACACTTTAATTTTTTGCCTCAAATATACCACTGCACACTATACACGGGTGCGCATTATAGCCCGCGAAATAGGCTATATACACGCTTAATCAAAGCGCCTTTACACATGATAAAATTCGTTCAGGCACACGTCGGGATGACGACACCAGTGCCATATCTTGGCTCAGAACCACAACTACCAAAGTTGGGGCTTTATCAGGCATGATGCCGCACTACCTCCTGGTGGAAAAGCTCTTTTAATTGCTCTCAGGATTCAATATACTAAACGATAAAAACAAATTACTGTTCCGCAGCAACCATCTTGTTCGTGCGACAGATCCCTGATCTATAAAATAAAACGCGTCATCGTAGGGTACTTAGGATTCAAAATGCAAGCGTTTCTTTCATATAACTTCGTTAATTATAAGTTTCATGTAATAATATTTCTTTTTGCAAAACGAGGATGATTATGAAAAAAAATAAGAAATCGGTGGTATTAAAACGCATGAAATGCTTCGAGTGGGAGTGTGGGTAAGTTGTTTATATGTTTGAAAATAATCCAGGTTTTTCAAAAACCAAAACCTAAGTGAGGTCAAGAAGTCGAGACACACACATCTTGTATGTTTTGTATGCAACATGCACTCAAAGATCTTATATGACAACAGGTAAGCTCATAAATGAATCCGATCGATGCTCTCCGCTGGCAGTAATATATCTCTTGAAGTTATGTTCGTGTTTACCAACTGCGTGTTTTTTTTACGGAATGTCTTTAGAATGTGCCAACCCGATGATTGCACTCCTGCATTTGCCATTATCTCATCTAAGATGTATGTGTGCCCATCTAAAATGGCTTTTTAACCTTTTCTTTTTTGGACGACAGCTGCCGTAACCGATGTTTTAAGTTTGAGTCGATGCAAAATAAGCTTATTTTAATCTTTAAAGCACGCTCATCTTAGCCTAAATAATTCTGATGACGCAGTCCCTTTTTTAAAGGTATTATCATTGAAAGACATCATTATCGAATTTTGTACTCATCACATTTTAGCATATTAGATTTCTATGTTTCGTCACATCCTTACATACACAGTTCTTAGAGTAATGACGCATTGATTCATGTGTGGGATATTTACGCACACGTGACCATTCATATTATCTCGACATTATTTGAGACCATTGAAGGTCGCCGAAATAAAGGCAAACAAATATTAAAAAGGGTCTGTCTAGCCCACGCCTTTAGTGCTTTCATTTTTAATGAACTACTGGGGTACGGAATGTTTATCCGAACACCTATCAAGAAAGTTAAAAGTACTTCTAGAAATTAGAAGCGATTTAAGAAGACAAATGGACATGATGCCACTTTGCAAGAATAATCTTAGCATTGATACTGATATTTGCGATTTTAGGCTACTTACGGCTTCCGGATGTCGCCGATCACGATGACATGTTTCAAAAACGGTAGCCTAGAAGGAGGCAGCAAAAGTTACGGCACTACGAAGACAACCAGCTGTTACGTTCCACCCACTATTGAAGAAAATATACAAGTTGTCACCTTTCGCTCTTCAAGTCTCCCGGTGCCGACTCCTTCAGTTCCGGAGCAATTTGAAGCAACATGTCGAAATAGTTTTTCTTCAAAAATGAATCTTTAAGTATCACAGCTGCACACTCGGCCTGAAAGCAGAGAGCCTACTTTTGAACATTGTCGAAACAAAGCGGCGGAAGCACGAAATGCCATTAGGCTTCAGGTGCGTCTCCTCCGTGACGCATGGTGACGCGGAAGAGACAGGCCAGGTAGTGCAACACCCCTTCCGGACGCCAACCGTAGTTCAAAGCACGGCCTATATATACTGTAGTCCTGACCTGCCCACACAAGAGTGTGACAGCGCGCGCCTCGTTGTGCAGCCCGCTGCCGCTTGGTTTTCTCACGCTATGACTTCGCAGTGCTGCACAAAGGTCGTTCTGTGTCCTAGAGTACCCGCATACGAATCGAACTCGCACAAGGCACGGCGGCGATATACGTCATTACCTGGTACTGACCTGCTCTCTTCGCGGGCCTCGCGGCATCTCATGAGGCTCGTCAGTCAGCGGGAGCGTGACAGAATTGAATCGTCACTAGAGGAGCCGGGTGCAAGCACCGTGGCTGTTGATGGCTATTCGAGAACTCGCCCCCATTATTTCAACTAAAAGCACAAATGAGCACCACTTTCACCCCTAGCACGGAGACGTTTGCTCATCGCGGTGAACTATCGCGGGTCACGAACAGCGTCGCAACGCTCCAGTTCGACAAAACGGTTCAAAATGGATAGAGCTTACATACGAAAGGGACTAGGGTGCCACTAAACAATGTCATCCCAGATGAAATGTAGCATTGTGGTATGACCAACGACACTCTGCATTGCATAACCTCTGTTAAAATCTTCCGTTGCGTTTACTCTTCCAACAATACTTTTTTTTAGCTCGTGCGCTGTAATGATCTTTTAATTAATCCACTCACTACGGCACTAAAATTAAAAGGAATGCTCAAAAAATAAGTGTTAAATATTTTACGATACTATGAGCATCTCTGAGATTCTGTGCATTAATTATATCTCATTTGAAGAAGAGTGATTGTGTCCCTAGCCAGTGAAGTGAAGCGCGAAGCTGGTGCGAGCAACGAGTACTCGTTACAGCACAAATTTGAATGAACACAACGGAAAGATTTCACATGTTAAAATACCTTCAATGCTCAATGGAATCGAAGTGTTGTCCAGTCTAGATTTCAATACTAAAAAAAGAGCCGAAACAGGCACCCAGACGGCCAGACCTTCAAATCGTTAATCAAGTCAAACCAGTAACAGTCCACAGAGACATGGAACGATGTCTAGCTGTCGTACTTGGAGGGAAGTTTGGTTCGCTGAAACGGCTTGGCTTGTAGGGTCTCCTCGATCTCCTCACACACGTCTGATATTCTTGTTGTGGGGATAGTCTTGAGACGAAAAGAGCAAGCTCCCTTGGGGGACGAGGGACAACACACAGCTTGCTCTCTGGGCTGGACCCCTCAAGGGCTTTCACTTTTTTTTACGACGAACAAGTGTGTACCCTATTGAAATTCTATCAAGATACGTAATTTGGGACACTGACTGCCAGTCAGCAGCCTTGGTGGAACGTGATGGACCATCAGACGTCATCTGATGGTCCATCAAATGACGTCTGACTGCCACTGCCAAGGGAATTTCACCAACAAGGGCAGCATTTATATAAGAGTAAAGCTATACGCACTCATAAATATCGCCAAATGCCTCGATAAAACAAAATGTTCAAAAAAAAAGAAAAAAAAAAGCATGACCACCGCGGATCGAAACCGCGACCACTTGCGAACAAATCGGACACCTTAACCCCTATGCTATGCCATCGCTTTGGAAACTCGATTTGACCATTCCTTTTATACGAGATGCTTCGGCTGCAAATGCTGTTAAGCCTTCTCCATGTTATGCAACGCACTCGTACATCACTCGCCGTACTTAAGTTCTGCTCACCTGCCATGTAGAGTACTTTCGCGTCGTAGAACGATACTTTTGTTCGCGCGTCTCCGGCCCAGTAGACCTGGTACACCCTGTCGTCTTCAACTACACCGCTAAAGTCCCTTACATCGTCGGAACTCACAACAGGCTGGGTCTTGTCGAGTAGAAATTCTACTGAAACATAAGACATTGTAGAGCCCGGGCAGGATCGACAAGTTGGAGCAAGCGGGCAAACAAAACGAGTCGAGAGCGATCGTTCATAAAAGCCCGGCGAAGCCTCTATGGGCGAAGCGACGTGGCGTGTTCGGCGTTTCTTCGGGCTTCTGATCAAGGTTGTCGGTCGGCTGCGTGTCATATCTCTAACATCAGCGGTTTTATGGGCTCACGTCCCGAAATCGTTTTCTTGTGCATAGATTATTTTTCGTATTCATAGATTTGACGAAATAGTGGTATCCGAACGAAATTTACGTCCTTTGACCGTACGTCTGTCTGCACGTCAAAGCTTTTTGACGTAGTCAGAGACAATCGAGGTACAATCAGAATCGCCACCAAGACATCTTGATGGCATTTCGCGGCGGCCGACTGCCACGAGGAAACCATCAGAAAGCCGACAAGTGGAGTCTGACTGGAGTTTGACTATCGGTCAGAGTAACTTGTTGGCCAATCACACATGCTTGAAAACATTGACTGCCAAACAGGGTTACATTGATGGATTTTTTTTTCGGGTATCCTTCATCGTCCGCATTCTACCGACCGCGGGGCAATAAATGCACTTTTTAGGGTCGGCGGCCCGATATTTCCGCGCGCAGGGCTGAGAAAGCAACGCTCGGTCACGGACCTTTAGAAAGATCTCGTTAATTCTTGTTCCAGACGTAACTTCTATCATTTATTCCTGCGTTTGTTTTCTAGAAAGTGCGTGTTCATTCTCGCCCCGAGCGTGCCACGCTCGAGCCGCTTTCGCCGAATCTTCGAGATAGTGACGCACTCTAGATAAAAGGCTGCCCGCGACCTTGTCGAGTAAGTTTCGCCTCAGTGTTCGATCTTGCTGCTTCGCCGCCTTCGACGCCCGCGACGCTCGGTTGTTATCTTTCTTTTCCCTTTTATTTTTGGGCACAAGTTCGCCTCATTAAACGTTACGTTTACTCAGTCATTCGTCGCCTCGTCACTTGTCATCCGTGACATTCTAGTGGAGGTGCGGGGTACTGCATTTTATGCCCGTTAAGCGTACCCCTCCGAAGACATCCCGGCCAAGCGACGTGCTCAGCCCCGAAAGGCTACCTTTCGCCGAAGAAGCCGGAGCCCGAAGAAGCTGTCGTACAAGAGGTCAGTCTCCCGAATTGGGTCTCTTGCCCGAGAACCGGAAGAAGGAGATCCCGACCACGACCACCCCGCCCGTCGTCGTCCTGCCCGTCGCACCCCGGACTCCGACGCCTTTCCACGGGGAGGTCCACGAGGACATCGAAGACTGGCTGCGACACTACGAACGTGTAGCCCGCCACAGCGGATGGACGGCTGCGCTGTGCCTCCACAACCTTTACTTCTCGCTTGAAGGCACTGCGAGGCACTGGTTTGAAAACCACGAAGCCTTTTTCCCCACATGGGAGTCCTGCGTCGCCGAACTTAAGCGAACATTGATTAACCATCATTGTCACCAGCGAGCAGAGGACCCACTTCAAACAAGGGTGCAGGGCCCCAACGAAAGCCTGACCAGCTTTGTTGAGGACGTCCTGAGTCTAAGTGCCCGAGCCGACTCGGAGGCAACCGAGGAAAAGAAACTTCGAATTCTCATGCGAGGCGTCAAGGCAGAAATTTTTGGAGGCCTGGTTCGCAATCCCTCGACGACCGTCGATGCTTTTGTGAGTAAAGCCATGAACATCGAACGCGCACTGACGGCCCGAGCAAGCCACTACCACCGACTCGCCGGCGCGCCTAATCCTCCAACCGTCTCAGCTACCCGTCTGGACCTGAGCAACACAGGTGTCGACAGCCCTCGGGAGATCGTCCGGGATATCGTCCGGGAAGAGCTCCGGAAGATCCTACCTGCTGCAGATCGCCCAGCCTCACTCTCACTCGCCGACGTCGTCCGAGAGGAAGTTCACCGAGCCTTCCATCCCGAGGTTGCCGTCACCGCAGCAGCACAGCAGGAACCAGCCGTAAGCTACGCCGAAATGGTCCGACTTGGTGGCGCCAGCCCCGCGTCCGTACACGGCGCCTCCCCGACGTGAATGTCCAGCGCCGCAGTATCCACAACACCAGGAAGATCGGACGCACGTACGCCCAGAACAAACTGTGGCAAGTAAGACCGACGTGTGGCGGACGGCCGACAGGCGACCGCTGTGTTACCACTGCGGTGAAGCTGACCATGTGTACCGGCGATGCCCCTACCGGCACATCGGGCTTCGCGGGTTCGCACCACGCCCAAGTAGCGGAGAACGGCCTCGAGACATCGAAGAATACCTGCAAGGTGCACCGTCTCCAGCTTCGCCGTTCGTCACCGTTGCACCGTTCGCCATCACCACGACGTCCAGCTTCGCCGATGCACCGACCCCGACGTGAAAGCCTGTGGCCCCTTGCTCCTCGCCGGGGGAACTAGGCCCGGCAATGCCGGGAGGTGGTATTGCCAAAGACGAACGATGCCAAGATCCTCCATGATCGTCGGAGCTCTCCCACTCTGACGCCACCACGCCCGGAAACAACGGTTCTGCGACGGTGTCGAATGACCTCAGCGTTATCATCGACGGCCACGAAGCGACGGCGCTGTTCGACACCGGAGCGGACTACTCCGTTTTGAGTGGGAGCCTCTCTCGTCACCTTCGAAAAGTTATGACGTCGTGGGACGGGCCGCAGATACGAACCGCCGGCGTACATCCCGTCACACCTGTTGGCAGGTGCACCACTCGCGTTGAGATCCACGGAGAAACCTGCCCTGTGAAGTTCGTCGTTCTGCAAGACTGTTTGAGGGACGTCATTCTCGGAATGGACTTCTTGTGCGAATAAGGCGCCGTCATTGACCTGGCAACCAACCAGCTGACGCTGTGGACACCTGTTATGACGTCCGAAGATCAGGAAACAACGTCGGTCGCCTCAGCCGCAGTGCGTGTACTGTACGAGCACGTCAACTTGCCACCGCGCTCGAGTGTGCTGGTGCCCGTCGTAACCGAAACGGCAATC